CGGGAAACTGCCTTCTCCACCGTCTCACCTGGCAGAAGAACGCCCAGGACCGCAGGGCCTCTCAACTATCCTTCCCCAGAGGAAACCTTGATGGGTGGATGCTCCACCCCCCCCACCCCAGTCCACAGGGAGCGACGCTGGCACAAAGCCAACCCAGAGGCGGGGCACGACCAGAACTCCGGGGGCATCCCCTGGCCATCTGCGGAACTGGCAAGGAATTCGCTGCCAGGGGAGGTAGCCATGGCCACAGGACTGAACAGCGTTCAAAGGAGGACTGGACAGATTCAGGGGGACTACTCGCCAAGGGGGCTGAGGGGAACCTCCACATCCGGAGGCCCTAATCCTCTGGATCCCAGAGCCAGGAGGCCACCTCAGGGAGAGGCCTCGGCCTCCGGGCCCCGTTGCAGGCCCCCCAGAGGAACTGGCTGGCCCCTGTGTAAGAGAACGGAGACTGGACTGGATGGACCGCGGTTCTGGTCCAGCAGGGTGGTTCTTATTTTCTCAATTCTTGCCCCACATGAAGTTTGGCTCATAAACCATATTGGAAGAAGGAGCATGTGGGACGCTTAACCCTACTTTTTCAGGGATGGTATGATTGGGGGGGAGGGGACGGAAAGATACTCTGTACATGCTTCAAAGTCAAAAGGTTCTTTCAGATGTTCTGGGGCTGAGCCCCAGGACTGAAAGGTCTTTTCTGCGCTGCTGCTTGGAACTGTAAGCTGAAGCTCTCTCCAAGGCAGGACCTGAACCAACCTGCAGCAGCCAAGGAGAGAGGTGGGCTCAGCCGTTCCCATTCCAGCAAGGATTTAACCGGGGGGGGGGCGCACAGGAAGGGCACCCTGGCAGCCTCACCCGCAAGCCCGTGACGTCGGCGCCCTCCAGTGGCAGGAGGGTGACGTTGGCCATGCCGGCCAGGATCTCCTGGTAGTAGAGCTGGAGGTAGCGCAGGGGGGCCGCCTCTACGGCCACCACGGTCTCGTCGGGCACGCCGTCGCGCAGGAAAGCCGCCAGGCACGCCGCGTTCTCCTCCTCCAGCCCGCGCAGCGTCAGGCCCTCCAGGTGCTCGCCGCTCTCCGCCAGGCGCGTGACGCAGCACCGCAGCCCGGCCTGCACCTGGGCCCAGCGCGGCACGGCCAGGGCCAGGAGCTGCCTCTCCGACAGGGGCAGGGAGAAGGGGGCCAGCAGCGAGCCCAGGAAGGACGTCGCCTGGCGGGCCACGGAGGGCTGCAGCGCCACCACCAGCAGCTCCTCCTCGCCCGGGACACAGCAGGCCCCCAGGCCCTGCTCCGCCAGCAGCTCCGCCAGACGCTCCCTGACATCCGCCCGCCGCAGGAAGCCCAGGACCCAGGCCGAGAAGGGCAGCTGCTCCCGGACGGCCCCCCGCAGGGCCTCCTCGACGCCCTCCCGCAACTGCCGCCGCCGGTCTGCGTCCCCCCCGGAGATGCACAGCCCCGCTCCCTCCAGGCGCAGCGTGCACTCGGGGACGGGGGCTCCCAGCTCCTGCAGGACGAGCGGCGACTCCAGCAGGCACCGCGTGGCTGCTTCCGGGAGGGGCACACAGAGAGAAGGGACCCCGCCATCTTCTGGGGAGGCTGCGGCTGCGGCGTCCTCCTCCTCGTCCTCCTCAGGGGGCTCCAGAAAGTCGTAGTGAGGGGACACATCCAAGTTGTGGCCCTGGAGCTGGTGGCCTCTCTGCAGCACCTGCTCCACCACTGCGGAGAGAGGCAGAGCGATTACAGACAGGACCTGGGGCGGGGGTCCAAGACCCTCCCCGTGCTCCCCCCGCAGCTGCGCCCTTTCTGGGTAGGCCCGGAGCCCCCAAGGGTGCCAGGGTGCCCGGCTGGGCTTCTGCACCCTCCTGCCCTCCCCCCAGGGCACTGGGCCAAAGCGGGCTCCCTCCCTCCCTCCCGTGCCACAGCAGAGCTCCGGAAGAGGCAGCAGGCGCCCACCCACCCCCGGGCACCCCCTCTGGAGCTCAGCCAGCTACACCCAGCAGGGAGAGACCCCTGGCGTTTCCGTTCGGGGAATGAGCTGCCCCACAGTCCTGCTCCCCTGGCCAGACTCTCCTAGTAGGCATTGGAGGGGAGAGAAGGGGGGGGCGTCCACTCAGTACCCCAAGGGGCAGGCCAAGCTCGGTCCTGCAGCCCCCCACCCGTCTCTAGACGCAGAGGAAGGGCAGAACTCTGCCACGAAGAAGGGCCGTTTCCCCTTCTATGAGCCACGGTGGTCTCCTCTGGTCCACCTGCTTTCCAGCCACAAGAATGCAGCTGCCCCGGGAGCCGTGTGCCTTCGCCAGCATCCTTCCTGATGGGGAGGGGTCTAGCAGTGGGCTCTCTGGACAGCAGACGCGCAGACCCAAATCCCCAAGGCTCCCAGGGAAGCCCCTCCGAGCCCACCCCTGCCTCCCTGGGCAAAGCCCCGAGAACCAGGAAGCGCCACCGGCTCCTGAAGGTGAGCTGCAGAGACGTGCCGTCTCAGGGCGAGTGCGAGCACGTGGCACTGCCAGTCACCCAACACTACTGTGGTGAGATGCAGTTAAGGAGCACACACAGTGACAACGCTGAAGCTCGTTGTCGGGGTCAGCTGCCCCACGCTCTGGCTCCGAAGGCACGACAGGTGTTGGCGGCACGAGGCCTTAAAGCTGCGCAAGGGGCAGGAGGCTCTCGGAGGTCAAGACGAGAGGAGGGAAGAGAAATAAGGGGGGGGGGGTCCTCCTCCCTGGGCCTGCCCTTTCCTGCCTTCTTGGTCTAGGTGCGGGAGGCTCTCGGAGGTCAAGACGAGAGGAGGGAAGAGAAATAAGGGGGGGGGGGTCCTCCTCACTGGGCCTGGCCTTTCCTGCCTTCTTGGTCTAGGTGCTCCACTGCCAAGAACACAGCGGCCTCCCTTGCACTGCGAACCCCCCTCCCCCCCAAAAAACCCCCAACCCCAACCTGCAAGGAATTTCATTTTGGCTTCCACATGACACTGAGACTCCTCTGTAGAGATGTGAAGGCCTGGGGAAAAAACTGGAAAAATTCGGGGTGGAAACGGTTTTTTTCAGTTTTTTTTCCTGAAGCCTTTTTTGTTTTTTCCCGAAAATTGGAAAAACTGAAAAAAGGAAAGGAAAAAAATTGATTATGGAACATTTTATTTTAACATGATGAATAAAATATTTTAAGACAAGGTGTTCAAATATTTTCCAAAACATTTCTAAAAAAATATGTATGGTATCAGATTGATCTAGGACAACAAAGTCCTAGGTTACAAACTGAACTCTCCTATGCAAGAACAAGATGCATTTAATAGAAGATGGCTAATTAATAGAAAACGGAGAGTGAATATAAATGGGCAATTTTCTCAGTGGAGGGTGGTAAGCAGTGGGGTACCGCAGGGATCAGTACTTGGCCCACTGCTTTTTAACTTGTTCATTAATGATTTGGAGTTGGGAGTAAGCAGTGAAGTGGCTAAATTTGCGGATGATACGAAGTTGTTCAGGGTGGTGAAAACCAGTGAGGATTGTGAGGCACTCCAAAGGGATCTGCCAAGGATGGGCAAGTGGGCGTCAACATGGCAAATGGGGTTCAATGTGGCCAAGTGCAAGGTGATGCACATTGGAGCCAAAAATCCTAAATATAAATACACATTGATGGGGTCTGAACTGGCAGAGAGTGATCAAGAGAGAGATCTTGGAGTTGTAGTAGATAACTCACTGAAAATGTTGAGACAGTGTGTGACTGCAATGAAGTGAACATAACATAAGACCATAGGAGATGCCAATGTTGGATCAGGCCAAAGCCCCATCCAGTCCAACACTCTGTGTCACACAGTGGCCAGAAATACCAGGTGCCCTCAGGAGGTCCAGCAGTGAGGCTCTCCCACTGCATGGGATAGAGCAGGTCGAGAAAGAAGTACTTTTCTCCCTTCCTCACAATACAAGAACTCCTTGTGGGCACTCCATGAAATTGCTGAGCGGTCGGGTTAGAACGGATAAAAGGAAGTCCTTCTTCACCCAGAGAGTGATGAACACATGGAATTCACTGCCACAGGAGGTGGTGGCGGCTACAAGCATGGACGGCTTCAAAAGGGAATTAGATAAGCATATGGAGTAGAGGTCCATCAGTGGCCCCTAGCCACAAGGTATAGACAGGGGCTCTGGGCCAAGTGATGCTCTGTCTTCTTGGTGCTTGGGAGGTGGACCTCCTGATGGCACCTGGTATTTCTGGCCACTGTGTGACACAGAGTGTTGGACTGGATGGGCCTTTGGCCTGATCCAACATTGGCATCTCTTATGTTCTTATGTTATGTTCATTTCTTCCTTTAGGAGGTGCGATTGTCACAAGAAAAGAAAAAAGTTTTGTTTTTGCATGTGCGTGGGTGGGTATTCTGTTTGTAATAAATGTTTGGATACACTATATTTTTAGATGCTAGTTGTGATAATTTCATGCCAAGGAAAAATGTCCATAGTCATATTTTATGTTCCTAACGTAACAGAATGACTTTCAATCGGGGGGAGGGGGGGGGGGAGAAGTGCTAAAGTAGCATTTTTTCATTTCCGTTTTTTCCCAAGCTTCAAAATTTCCAGAAATTTTACATCTGTACTCCTCTGCACGATCCCCCAAACCTGCTCTGGTGTGATCTTTGCCAAGCACGGGTTTGGAGAAAGCCTCGATGGAAAGGCGCCAACTTCCCCCTCTCTTTGCCCCACGGCCAGGGCCATTCCACCCACCCACCCTCCACCAGCAGGCTTTTAGCAGGGCCATCTGGCTCCCCCCCCCATACACAATCTGTAAAGGAAGCAAAAGCTGCTGGCGACCGGGGAAGGGGTCCAGTGGGGGGGGGGAAAGCACAGAGAGCCCCCCCCCCAGGCTGCCCTGCCCCAGGGTATGGCCTGTCGCTTCTGTGCAGCAGCGGCAGGAAAGGAAGTTCTCTTTTCTGCTCCAGCAGGAGTGGAGCAGTAAAGAGAATGCAGGGAAAATCAGGCCCGACTGCACTCAGTGCATGCCCTGCACGCCCCCCAGAGAGGCCAGCACCCGTGCGGAGGAGGGCTCCAGCCTGCCTGCGCCAAGACAGGAGGGCCACAGACACCTTCCCCTGGGGTCACTGAGAAGAGACTGGATTTATCCCCCATGGCCCTTCGCTACCCGAAGGAGTCTCAGAGCGGCTCACAATCTCCTTTCCCTTCCCCTCCCCACAACAGACACCCTCCTGGGAGATCGGTGGAAGAACTGAGAACAGCTCTGAGAGAACTTGTGACTTGTGACTGACCCAAGGTCACACCAGCAGCTGCACATGGAGGAGTGGGGAATTAAACCCCGCTCTCCCAGATTAGAGTCCACGCTCATAACCACTATGCCAGACCGGCTCTCTAAGAGCTGGATTTGAGACCAGCCGCATCTGAGAGACGAGCCAGACTTCCGGGGGATGAGCTTTCGACCGCCCAAGCTCCCTCTGTCAGGCACAAGGAAGCGCAGACTCTCCAGAGCACGTGCCCCAAAAAAGCGGGCTGGTCTCCAGGGGGCTCCCGGACTGGCCTCCAGCGTTCCTCCTGCCCACCAATGCGGCTTCCCCCCCCCCCCCCGAGACTCTACCCACTAAAACTCACCCTGGCATGTCGGGTAGCGTGGGGCCTCGGAGGACACGGCCACAAAGGCACCAACAGCTTCCCTCTCACCGGCATGCCTGGGCCAGTGGGGACCCCCCTCCCCACTACCGCCCCACACCCCAGCAAGGGGCTGAGGGGGGACCTGCCAGGCACTGCCCAGGAAACAGGCCCCCTCTTCCCCGGGAGAGCTGGCCAGCGGCGGGGCAGAGACACCATCTTCCCTTGAGAGCCAGACAGGGAGGCCCGGACCCCCCTCCTCCCCCTGGGGGCTTCTGCCAAGAGAATCTCCCTTGCACGCAGCAGGTGGCGGGGAGGGGCTTTCGGGAGCCACCGCTCACCTCTTCTGGTCCTGCCAGACAGACAGGCTAACACGCCCCCCCCCATCTCTCACCTGCAGGATCATGGAAGGAGACAACGGCCACCGCACCCCCTCGGAGCAGTCTCACAGCCCGCACGGGACCCCCACTGCTCCGCCGGCTTTCGAAGTAGAGCTCCAGCAGGTCCGGGCTCAGGCTAACGCCCCCGCAAGAGGCCACCAGTAGGCTGTCCGTCTGCTCCACCCAGTCGAGCGCCAGGCTGGCCTCCTCCAGGGGCCGGCCCTGCACACGCTCCGCCAAAGCCAGGAACTCTGCCGGGGCAAGGGGAAGGGGTCTGCTTGAGTCCAGGGCCAGCCATGGTGGGTGGAAATACACACACAAACACACACCCCGGTTTCCTGCATGGGAAGGAAGATCTGTCGTGCCTCTGTCCTCACCCATGGGGGCGGCAGACACCCCCGCTGCGCCATCGTTCTGTGCAGGGACGGGAGGACGCCATCAGGTATGGGGCATACAGAGGCTCTGTCCCTAGAAGGGTGGCCACCTAACCCCTTGGTCTGGGGCACAGCTCAGCTCCCGAAGAAGAAGAGTTGGGTTTCTATCCCACCCTTCACGACCTGAAGGAGTCTCAGAGCGGCTCACAAGCTCCCACAGCAGACAGACACCCTGTGAGGCAGGTGGGGCTGAGAGAGCCCTGAGAAACCTGCTCCTGAGAGAACTGGGACTGACCCAAGGTCACCCAGCTGGCTGCACGTGGAGGAGGAGTGGGGAATCAAACCCGGTTCTCCAGAACAGTCCTCGGAATCCCTCCAGGTACCCAGAGAGAAAGCTACAGGGTACTATTGTTTTCCATTTGGGGAAACCCTGAACCTCTGCTGGATGGACTGAACTTTTGGTGGCCTGCCCTGCTGATTGCTGAACTGCTGTTATTTATTTATTTATTTCCATTTATATCCCGCCTTCCCTGCACGCTGGCTCAGGGCGGCTTACAAGGCACAAAGTGCAATAAAACAAACAGATCAAAACAACTGAAGCTAAAAAACCACAACTAACAGGATACACGAAAGACTGAAATTACGCACTCCCCATTGCATATCAGGAGGAGGTCAGAAGATCAAAAGGAGGGGACGCCATGGACCGCGATGTTCCAGTTACTCCATCGGCCCAACCCGGCGGTCCTGCTCCACAGTTACGCGGTGGTGGTAGTGGCGGCGGCTCCTACTCAAAAGCCTGGCGGAAGAGCTCCGTCTTGCAGGCCCTGCGGAACTGCAAAAGGTCCCGCAGAGCCCTGATCTCCTCCGGGAGCTCCTTCCACCAGGTAGGAGCCGCCACCGAAAAGGACCTGGCCCTTGTGGCAGCAAGCCTGGCCTCTTTAGGGGCCGGGGTCACTAGGGACCGAAGTGCTCTTTGGGGCCCATATGGGGAAAGGCGGTCCCTCAGGTATGCCGGACCCAGGCTTCAAGAACTGCTGTGAAGAACTGGTGTGGTACCATCCAAGGTAACTTAGAGATTAAAAACCTTTTCTTCCCCCCTTTTGTGCACAGTGTACTGGTATTGCTTTAAACCATAAAATAAACGGTTTTGCTTACATACCTGTTTGGGTGTGTTCTGTCTGGGGGGTTGCAGAAAGGCTTTTCCTAGTTGCCTTTTGCCCCTACCAATATTTTAGGGGTGGAACTCCTGACCCTGGAGAGAGTTTGGAGTTCTGCTTGAGGTCTGGGGGTACCGTAACTGCCTGGCAGAGAAGGGGGGGCTGGGGAGAAGGGCGGCTCCACGAGGCAGGGACCCGGGCCAACTGCAGAGCGCCCGGATGCCTCAAAGGACCCAAAGCAGAGTGGCGCTTGTGGGTCAGCAGCTGTCCCGTGATGGGGGGCCGAGCAGCAGTTGGGGGGGGCTTCCTATAGGAGCCGCGGACCTAAGACGAAGGAGCGGAGGGGGCTCCGGAACAGGGACCCGCCTCCCAGACCAAGGCCGCAGTCCTCTTTCCACACTCCCCTCCCCAGTCCCCTTCAAGCCGCCTTCTTGCCTCAGGCACCCAGTCCCCATCCCCCCCCTTCCTCTAATCTGGGAGAACGGGGTTTGATTCCCCACTCCTCCACTTGCAGCTGCTGGCGTGACCTTGGTCTTTTCACTTTGGAGGAAGCTTTGACCTCACTAAGAGAGACTTTTTGCAGCCTTCATTGAAAAATTTGGATAAATATTTTGGTATTTGGCTACCTTGTGCTTGGAAATATCTGTTGAACTCCCCGAGGAAGACACTGAAACAGGAGGATATCTGGACCTCTTTTGGAGGAAGACTGAGCACTCATTCCGAATAGACTTAAAGGAGCCCTCCCTCCTAAAACCTTTGTATCATTAAGGAGGACTGATATTAATAAAGGAGTTGTGCAATATCTTTTGTGATATATTAAGAGATGATACTTAGATGTTTTGATACATGATTCTTTCTATGTATTAAGACTTATATGATAAATAATATATGGTGAATAAATTGTAAAAATATAAAACAAAAATATATTAAAATTATTTGAGGTATTTTATAATCGTCTGTAGCACGGTATTTGCTGATTTTTGATAGTTCTGGCACGGCTGTTCTTGGAAAAAGAGCCATTTCTGTCAGAGCTCTCTCAGCCCCACCCACCTCACAGGACGGTGTCTGTTGTGGGGAGGGGAAGAGAAAGGAGTCTGTGAGCCACTCTGAGGCTCCTTCGGGTAGTGAAGGGCGGGGTAGAAATCCAATCTCTTCTCTTCTTTTTCTTGACTGGGGGCAGATGGACAACCAGGCAGTTTGGTGTCGTGGTTAAGTGCGCGGACTCTAATCTGGGAGAACCGGATTTGATTCCCGACTCCTCCACTTGGACCTGGCTGGATGACCTTGGGCAAGCCATAGTTCTTCTGACAAGAGCTGTCCTTGAAAAAGAGCCGTTTCTGCCAGAGCTCTCTCAGCCCCGCCTGCCTCCCAGGGTATCTGTTGTGGGGAGGGGAAGGGAAGGAGATTGTAAGCCACTCTGAGACACCTTTGGGTAGTGAAGGGTGGGGAATAAATCCAATATTTTCTTCTTCTTAACGAACAGAAGGAGAGCCAAGCACCCGCCCTCCCCAAAGGATGAGCGGTGGCCACAGTGGATAGAGGCATGGGGGCCCAAGCCTCCCATTTAATTCCAAACAACTCTGCTGCGGCCACACACCCCTCCCCCCGCTTTGCTGGAGAGCCAAGGAGCGCGGGGGGGGGGGCTGATGCTCCCCTAGACTCAGCCAGGACAGCTTATGAGGCTGGTAGAAATGGCTTTCCCTCCTAAAGCTCCCCATCTGTCAGCTAGCTGCCATGCTTTCCTTGTTTTCGTTCTTCCCTGTCTGTAGCACATGTGCGCATGCTTGCTTGGCTTAACCTCTGTAAACAACTATCCGGAGGCACTCATGAGACCATGCGAACTGGCTTCGGCAGACTGTGCTATCTGCTTAACCTTGAGAAGGGAAGGCTTGCATTCCACTGTCAGTGTGAATATTTCTGCTCTCATGGTGCACGGAGAGTCTCCCATTCATGAAGTAATATCCCGCCGGGAGTTTTCCTGTGCGCGTGCTTGAATTTCATTTGCTTAGCTCATGGCAGCATCATGGTATATGCATTGGTGCCTCAGCCGTCACAGTTATTCCTAACAACGTACCTGTATAATCTGGCAACAGACCTGTAGACTAATAAAGCATAACGATTCCTTGGAACGTGTGCAGAGTTTTGCATGCTGCTGATCCTGACACTGTCCTACAGTGGCTTGCAAAAGGTGACAAAGCCCCCCCCCCATCTATTTCTCCTGCATGGGGTTTAGTAAGCCTGGGCCCACAGTTCCCCCTCAGCTGCACTAGGGGGAACTGGTGCACAACATTTTAACCGGCAGCTCAGGGACTGTGAGCTTCTAGTCACAATACCTTTTCCCCCCTCCACTGGAAACAATGGAGGCTCCTTCAGGAGCCCATAGAATTGGACTCGCTAGTCTGATCTTTTTGACACTTGGGAGGAGTTGTTGGTTTGTTGTTGTTTTTTTAGGAGAGGCACCAGCAGCTATGCTGCAAATTTGTTGCCTCTACCTAAAAAGACACACACCCCAGAGCCCCCTGGATCAATTCTCCATTATAGCGTATGGGGCCCATTGACTATAATGGTCCCCATAGGCTACAATGGAGCCAGGGAAATTATTATTATTTTGCACACCTCTATTATTTTTATTTAATTATTTATTTATTTATTTTTCTACCCCGCCCTCCTGCCGAAGCGGCACAGGGCGGCTTACAAGCAATTTAAAACCAACATTCGATTATGTTTTTTCAGTGTGATTTCTAAGCTGCCTCGAGTCACAAGGAAAAGTGGGACATTAATATTTGAAAAAAGTAGTCTGGGCAGGTTGATAACATTTAAGCAACTTCCTGTTTGTTAGGTTAGGCAGGGTTCTGACAATGACTGTTCCTCCCTGTTATATTTGACCTGTAATGCTGGTTGTCATATTTCACTAAAAAAAAAAGCAAACAGATGCAGATTGCAACCACATACCCCCCCCCCAATCCCCCCAGTGCTGGTATGTTTTCTAAGGCTCAGCACAGGGCAAAGGTCCAAGGCCAGGTATCCCAATAGAGAGGAAAGAGCGGGCAGACCTGTTATCCAGAGGCCAGGCCTACCAATACAGGGGACTGGGGCAGGTAGACCTGTCCTCCAGAGGCCAGGTTGACCAATACAGTGGAAAGGGGTGGGCAGACCTGTTCTCCAGAGGCCAGGTTGACCAATACAGTGGAAAGGGATAGGTGAAATTTGACTTGATTCTATTTTCTCTTATAATGTTTAAATTATTCTTAAAATATAGTTTAAAATAATTTATTCTGAGACTTTTACAAGGTTATGAAAGTAATCTTAAAAAAAAAAAAACTAACCTAGGCGATAGTCAAATGTAGACTCGCTCACAGCTCTAATGCCACTAGCTCTTTTTGCTCAGGAGGTGGAATTTCTGCCCGCAACACCGTGGAGCTTAAAGGGCATATTGCTTGGGCCATGACGCAGCTGCCTGGTGTCCTCATTTACCATCTTCAGGGCCTGAAATCCTGGGGACTAATGCTGTCTGCCCTTCCTCAACTGTCTAAAACTCCCTCCCGCAGGCTGAGCAGGCTTGGGGATGCCAGAGCCCTCCAGAGCCGGCACAAGAAGGGGGGGGAGCAGAGGGCGACGTGCGGGGGGGGGGGGCGGGACTTCTAGAGCACCGCTCCCGCCCGGGAGCCGGAGGAGCCGAACCCGCCCGCGGCGCCCCGTCTTACCTGCCGGGGGGATGGGCTGGG